TTTAAATCCATAATTTAAACATTGCTAAACGTCATAAGTCAATTTTTCTTTTTTCCTAAATATGTAAATTTGCTTGCAAGTGATAGAACTTATATGGAAACTTATCTTAAGGGACGCTTGTTTCCCATTTTTGTAAAAATGAGAATGAAAAATATAGACATTATATGCACCACACAAAAGATAGAAATTCAAATTTGATAGCTTGATGTGATGAATAACGATCATATTTTTCATTTTAATGAGGAAAGAATGGAAACAAACAGAGACTTAATTGAACTTTTTCCTATGATTCTTAATATGGTAAGTTGATAATTTGTTCTAACCCTTAACTCAGTTGTGAAAATAACAATCCATGATTAAGAGAGTTGGCCTAAAGACCAGTCTGGTTATCAAATTTCCTGTTGTTTAGGTATATATATATTTTTTAATTATATTTTAATATACTAAATAACTAATGATTTGTTTTTTTGGTTGATTTGGAAAATGGTAGATGGAAGAAGTTAGTCCAACCTTTTGCATTTCCTAGTTGACATCATGGATTTTGTTGATAATTAATCAAACTATTCTTTTACACCAAACTGTATCTGTCACTTATTTCGCACGAAATTGCTGCGCTGGCATATTCCAACTGTGGACCCACTTTTCCTAGTACTGCAACTAATCCTAATCAATCTTTTCTTCTTGATCGTTATTGGTCCATATTGGATTTTTTTTTTCCGATCGAAGATAATCAAATCACCATATCATAAGCAAGAGATATTTTGGTATATCGGTGAGAACTATGCTACATGTACAGAAGAGATTCACGAAATATTCTTTTTTTTTTTTTTTATACAATAAACATCGTATGAATGGATAGTTAGAAAAAATTAAAAAATCACCCACGCAACGCTGCACCTGTAATCGTTCTCTAAACCATTTCCCTATATGCATTGAATGGTTCTACTAGTGAAGCAAATGGCCACAACTATGGAATCTAGAACGGAGGATTTGTAGTTTCTAAATATAATATAATAACAAGACTAACAATGTAATAAGTTCTTTTTGTTTTATAATACAATTGAATACGATTATTATTGGAACATTGATATAATGTAAAATCAGATTCAATTTTTTTTTTCTCGTTTTGGGTAGGTTAATGCCCTTCCTAAAGCTTCTGGGGGCGTAGCCTTTGAGATAGAGTGAAGCCCCCTTTAGAGGAACAAAATCTCTATTCTTTGATGAACGGGGGTGGAGTTTTGGAGCGAACTACTCATTGCTATCTTGCTCCAACCCAAGGAAGGGCATTTGGCGAGTTGTTAACTTAAGACTAAAAAATAGCACATTTATTTATAAGAAATGAAAATTTTGTCGATCGATTTATATGTGAACAGAATTAACATGTAATTCCATAGAATTCAGAAGAAGATAGCTCGATCGGCATGCCAAAATGCTAGTGTTTTCAACCTTTTTGGAATGTTCACCATATTGGGTAGGATAGTTATTAGATATTTAATTTAATTTTAAACTAAAAAAGGTTTTTAAGTGATTAGTGATCAAGAATTCCATTTAAGCAAAATAAAAAATAAAAATAAAATAAGGAATTGGGGCCAAGGCAAAATCACAATCTTCTTATCTAGACCCTTTTCCCTACATTCTATACAATCCACTACTGTCTACTGAGGGTAAACATGTCTTTCGGGTTTAATTCCAAAAATGGTAAGTGAAGTCCAAGGAAAATTTAAATTGGTCATTAAAGTATTTCTATAATCTATTTAGTCACTAAAAATTAAATAACATTATAAAAGTAATCGCTCGCAAACTAATAACAGTTCAAAGTATCGATTCCATCTAGTTTGCTTTCTATTGTAGTTCTCTCATGAATTTTTTTTCACTATTTATTATATGAAAATTAGGGTTCATGACATAAGATCGTGCTTGGAATCGATAAGGGTCCCAAGAGATTGGACTTGGAATGGATTTTCGAAATTGATTCTAGTGATTAGGTTGAATTGTATTAATTTCATGTAAAAAAAGTGACGACAATACATATCACATATTAATTAATCTTAAATGGAGCCATTGTGAGATTTTTAACTTTTCAGAAAATGGCGTTTGATTTTGAAAATGATACAGTGACCGTTAACATATGTCAAGGTTTAACGAACCGACGTCGGTCCGAATCTACGGTGAATGCTACTAAAGAAGTGTCCAATATATTATTTAAATATAGTGACTAAATAGATGACGAAAATATCTATTAATGACTAATTTGAAATTTATTCAAACTTCAAGGACTATTTAGGCAATTAATAGACTGCTAACCCCTCGCCTCGCCAACTTCGTAGTATAAACCAATTTTCATTTACTGTCAGTGCAGATAATAGACAGAGATAGAGAAACAGTCCCAAACACCCTCTCTATCTCTCTCTATAACACACACATAGATATACATACGGACACCTTTTTTTGTGTGTGTGTATATATATCGGTAGATGGATCTACATGGAGAAACAATCTACGAAGAATCCGATACGCTTTTTCAGAAAAATCGGTGTTGTTGTTCCTTCCCGTGGAAAATTCGAACGCCGGACATTGGAAACACCTCCCTGTGGATCCGTGGAGTCAACGCACTGAAGAAGATTCGCGAGTGGTCGGAACTCGTAGCTGGTCCGAGATGGAAGACTTTCATCCGGCGGTTCAACCGAAACCGGAGCGGCCATAACAGGCATGTGAATTACCAATACGATCCATTGAGTTACGCGATGAATTTCGACGAGGGGCCGGGGCAGAGTGGTAATTTCGAGGAAGAGGATGGGTATTATTATATGTCAAGGAATTTCTCGTCCAGGTACGCCGCCTTCCCGGCGTCATCTAAAACTTCTATGGACCTCGGCAAGGATGCGACGCCCTCCTCCGTATAACGTGCGCCAGCGGTGCGAAGTGTGAGAGGTGAAGCTTAGCGGTCGATCAATTATTGTTAATTACAGCTCATCGTTTTATGCTACTATGTGTTAATTTTATTTTTATTTTTATTTTTTGGTTTGATTTTATTTATATATATATTTTTGAAATTTTCACTTTTGGTTAGCTTGTGTTTGTACTGGGGATTGCGTGTAAGTTTTCGAATTTTTAATTTATTATTGCGTGTTGGATTTCATAACCCTGTAATGTAACCCGCACGGCCGCAAGGCGTCTTTTTATTTGTTAATAAAAAGTTATACGAGGAAGTGTCAAAAAATTTATAGCAACTAACGTTTGATAATACTTTTTAATATTTAAAAATCGTGAGTGGTATACAAAATGTGTAATATAGTGTATAGGTAGAAAGTTGTGCATCCTACAAAATGTTTGAACATAAATGTTTGTTTAATACGATTTTTTGTCTTTGCTTTTTCTTATAGTAGAAAAATTTATTGAGAAAAACACCTTAATTTTTATTTGAAAACCAATTTGTAAAAGAGTTTCATATTTTTTTAAGTGCTCATGGATGACAATTCGAACTATCAAAATCAAAAATAATTGTTAACCGAACCAAATGGGACGAAAAAATCGAGCTGATGGTGCAACGAGCCGGATATTGTATTTGATTTTAG